CCCCAAAACCCCAAAACCCCAAAACCCCAAAATCTATCTACTAAAAAATTAATCATCAAAAGTAATCAAATCAAAATTAAATATTTTCATTCTCCCATAATTAGGCGTTTTTGCGTTAGCCAGACTGTGAGTGAACTTTTTTCTTTTTCTTTTTGACAATTTTTCCTTACCTTTGCTAATTTCCTCTATCAGCAATATCTACTTCATATCTTTAAAGATCTTCTTTGACTTAAAAGCTAGGTGTATTAGGGATGATATTTTTTTCAAAATCTTGTAATTCATTCTTGATTAGTCTTATATCTCTTTGATTATACACTTGCTTCGAGTTATTTATACTTTAATCACTAAATTGAGATTTACTTTCATTTTGTTACTGCTATTAATGCCATTCCACACCTAAAAGATGCTTATCATTTCTTTTTGCTTCTTGTGAAAAATTCATTCCAAGGCTCTCTAGCTCTTTCTTAATTTCATTTTTAAAATTAGGCACAATAATCATATTCCTCAGTCTCTTGCCAAAAATATCATTGTCCCTATCCACTTAATTTTCCTATTCAAGAAGAAAATTTTCAAGTAATTTCCTCTTCTCATAATTCTATGTGAATGGGGAATTAAAGAATTTATCAGCTTTTTCACTAATAGGAGATAAATTTTGAATTGTTGGCATTTACTGTAGTTATCGAGTTGTATTTTAAGGAGATTTACTCTATTAAGATATTTTTGCTTTGAGCATTGTCTGTTATTTTAGATTTTCAATTAACTTGCTTTGCAACATTTCTTTTACAGATATAACTCTGTCATTTTCTAAAGTGTCTAAAATTGATTCATCAGCTATGTGATTAGATACATGTGATGTATTAAATTATTCATAATCATTATTTGGATTAGTCAAGCTTTACACTTTTTAATGAATTGTTGGGGATTTAGAGTTAAGGGTAGATTATTTTGCAAGCCTAGAAAGAATATCAGTGTCCTCAAATTTAAAAGAAAATGTTTTGTTTTCTTCATTATTTAAAGTAATTTATTGAGATTCTAATTAGATCTTCTTGTTAGCAGATGAGAATAAGGATTTTCCTATTTTTCCAGTATCATCATTTAAGGTTTCATTCGTATAGAACTAGTTGTAAATTTCATCTTCTAGATTTCCAAATATAATCTATTGACCTCTCTTTTACTTGAATTTCTCTCTTTTTATGAATCCTTAAAGACCTGTACCATCATTAAATGCAAATTTGAATCTTCTAGATATAGACTCTATCTGCTGTGCCTAATACTGTACCTATCTTTAGATATTGTATACAAATATCTATATCTTCTTGACTTCAGAAGGAGGAGTTACAATTTCAATGACTTCTTTGTTTTTTGCTCCATTTTTTCCATAATTTTTCATTAGAGAAGCTAGATTATTCTTCTATAATTTAATCATCTCCTTCTTTTTCTGAATCAAATCTCTCAATATCTCATTGATTTGGGGTTTCTTATTTTTTTCTCTGTAATTTGTTAATACAAAAATCCCAGAATTCTTAATGATTCTATTTTATATGCAATTTCTTTCGTATTTAGCAGGATCTTTCCTATTGTCTGTTTAGAAACCAGCTAAACAATCCATAAAAAGTCTATCATATCCTAATGTAGCAAAGTCTTAAAATATTTTCTGCATCTCTAGATTTAAAGAACTGTTTGGATTTTTCCTTATTAATAGCTATACTTTATTTAGTGATAAGACCATTAACTCCACATTTGTCTAGCATCTAAATGGTAGAAGAACTGGCTTCTTGAAAAGAAACAAGTGATGACAAATTACTGCTCCTCTTCTTAAGAACTCTATAGGAAACTCAGTATTTTTATTAACATGCGTATAAACCTCAACAATTCCTTTTGAAACTAACATTAAGCTCTGAGATATATCTCCTGGGTTTAGAATCATATTTCCTTTCTCAAAGTTTACTATCTTGAAGTTAAAGATCAAGGAATCTTTATCATCTTCAGATAGCTTCTTGAAAAAATATATTCTATCTGTAAAAATTAAATAATCTATTGAATACCTAGTGCTTTTTTTAGGAATAAATGCCTTTCATCCTTGTATGCACCAACCCTTTTCTTAAATGCATCTATATCAATAACTTAATGATTAGAATATCTTACTTAAAATTCGAGGATGTTTCTGCATGATTTCCCAAAAATATTTGTAGCTAAGAGAAGCCAGTGTTGAATAATAGTCTGATGTTATTTTGGCTGATCTTTTACTTTCATAAATCAATGCAATTTCCTGCAATAATGATAAGGATAGTTTTAATCTTACTCCGAAGAATTCATTTTTCTTTAGCTACCTTATTACTTAATCTTCATTCTTGATTTAATCTTTTTAAATTACATTGCAAATTCCTGAGACTATAAAATACATCTTATCGTTTACTATAAATGTATATTAAGTCCATAAAAATTACCTAGTATAGTATCACCTTGTGTTAATATGATTTCTTCAGGGTATGCAAGATTCAAGTTCATATGCTTAATCATTTAATCAATTGTAGACTGGTGTGTATTTTTAAAAACTTGACCGATATAAATATTTGTCAAAAACAATGGCTATAATTCATGAATGTAAACTTTAAGTTTTAAACTATTAGAAATTTTATCAAGAAAACTTTTTAATTCTTATGGTTACGCTCTTTATTTTTATGTCATAACTATATAATTTTTAACTAATCTCTCTATAGTAGTAGGTAGTTTGAATGTGTTCATTGCAGCTGCTGCAGTTTATGTCTCGGCTAGATAGATATATTTACCTTAATTTAGATCTTAAATAAGCATTGATATAAGTCCAAACATATTTGCGTTAAAAATGGCGAAAAATATCCCTAAGTACCCAACAAGTGCTCTCTCTACTACAGCTGTTGCTCCTATATCATTGACTGAATATATCAAAACAGCATAGTAAATCGCAGTCCAATATTTCTCTACATAATCCTGATCATTGTAAAAATTAAGAGCATCAGGCTGTAAAGAATCTGATGGTGGATACCATGTTTTGTTTATAGTGCATACATAATAGTATAGACAACCCAGCATATGAATAACTACTAATTAGATAAATATAATATTCAGCAGTTTCAAAATCTAAAAACATGATTAGTTAAGTGAAAGTTTTACAATCTTATAAGACTTTTTCATATCAAGCTTTTCAATGATATCTGCAATCCTAAATATTCTTACAGTCTTAAGAATATTAAACAATGAAAGAGTGTCAGAGGTACCTAACTTATCTATAGGTATGAAACTAATCAAATCAATCCAAAAGCTCCAAGATAATATATAGTCTTTTGCAATTAACTTAGGATCTTTAATTTCTTCTCCTGTTAATAGATTTAGTCTTGAAGTTCGAAATGTTATCAAAATATCAAGCAAGAACAAGTAATTAATCGCATCAGTAGCCAAATCAAAAAGGGTAGTGTTCGTAAATGGTGCATCAAAGGCTACTTGAAATGGGATCATAAATGAATTAACAACTGCTAGAAAAATCATTAAAGAATCCCATATTATCTTTAATTTTGCATTATACTTTATTACGTACTTAAATTTCTAATGCAGCAAAATAAAAAAATTATATAATATCTTACTTTTTACTATTTGATAAGCGTCTACAGCTTCAAATCTTAATTTTATTATTTTTTAAGCACTTTTAATCTTTCTGCAGAAGGAGGAGCAACACTTTTTCTTCTTATTTTTCTCCTAATAGGAGAGATCTATTAGCTTTTTTCCATTATATAATTGTGAATCTTTTTTCCAAGTAATGTTGTAGTTTCACTTTGGGTATTTGTACTATCTCTCTCCTCACTTTCATTTTCTGATTCACTATCAGCTAAATTTTGATACTGGTTAAATAAAATTATTACAATATTTAAAGAATCTATTTCGCCTTCTTTAAGCCTTATTCTGAAGTACAAGCTCAGTTCAGCTCAAATTTTTTATTGGAATTTTATTAAATATTTTGGATTTTATGCTATTTTATTTTTAATTTTTCTATAATGGATTTTTGCCAGAAGAAATCTAATTAAGAAGCGTCTTTAGATCCATAATTGAATAATGATTTTATTGTTGTCTATTTACTGATTCATCTCTTGATTAACTTTTAGCTATTTTTACGCTACTATCTCCTATAATTTTAATGTCAAAATATTTACTTGGATATATTTATGGATTCTTTTACTTTGTATCAATTCTAAGCCTTGAAAATTTACTAGTTTCCTTGTTTAAATCCTCTAAAATAAACATATTTTAGGATGAGCGTCTTACAATCAGATTTATTGGTAGCTTTAGAAAGAAGATTCTATTTCTGATTATCGTGCTTATTATTCTTCATTATTTTAACAATAAATTCAATTCAATTTTTACTTTTAAATACTCAACTGGGGTTTTGGGGTTTTGGGGTTTTGGGG